GGAAAATTGAAACGCAGAAGATTTAAATTTTAGTATATATTTATTAAATTTAAATCTTTTGTGGCACGAACTTTCCGGATAATATATATGAAACATTAAAACTTTAGCAATTTGAAAACATTTGCACATTTATAACCATTTAAATTAACTTAATAATGTAATTATATAGTTTTGTTTCTTAATCTAACAAAATTACATATGTTGAGTCTTTTAACTCAATTTGGCAGGAAAGATAATACAAGCACATTCTATCAAGATGCAAAAGTCGAAATATTAATCTCAGTTAGACTTTAAAAAAACAAAATATATATTCTAGAATATATACAATTGTACAGTAATATTATTTGGTTTATAGGGTTCGACTATAGATCCATCGAGGGAACATCAAGCTGGCCAAAATGTCTTATTATACAAGCTACAACCAAAAATTTCGCCAGTGGGTTCAATAGCTTCCCAACGACCTCTGAGTCAACTGAGTTCACATAATATTAATAAATATTCTCAGACATATATGTCTGAGAATCCATCTAATCTCCAATCACATTTGAAGAAGCCGATGGAAACATCCCAATCAATGCATAATTTATCAAAGCCTAATATACCATCTGCAGTATCAGGAACTAGTTCTACTCCAGATCAAAACCAGAATTTGAAAAGTGCTGTGTCTTCAGGGAACTTAGCAGTTAGTGCAAGTTCGAACAATACCAATAAACAAACAGAGCAGAGACTTACGCATGAACAGTTTCGGGCTGCTTTACAAATGGTGGTATGTGTAAAATTTATATTAATACCAAATTTATTCGTTGCACAATATTACAATTAATCGTGATATAATTTTTTTATGTAAAAATATCTTCAAAATATCTTTATTTTTTTATATATATTCTATAAATGAATGATTCTAATTCAATTATATTATTGCTATTATGAATTGCAATTAAATGAAATAAACAAGTTGCAGTCTAGAATTTTAACTTTTACAATGGCGTTTATTCACCTTACTTTATATTTAGGTAAGCCAAGGTGATCCAAGAGAAAATTTGGAGAATTTCCTGAAGATTGGTGAAGGCAGCACAGGAACTGTATGCATAGCTACAGATAAGAGTACAAACCGTCAGGTTGCAGTCAAGAAAATGGATTTGAGGAAACAACAAAGACGCGAATTACTTTTTAACGAAGTCGTTATTATGAGAGACTACCATCATCCAAATATAGTTGAAATGTATAATAGTTTCTTGGTAGACGATGAATTATGGGTCGTTATGGAGTATTTAGAGGGTGGTGCGCTAACCGATATTGTAACACATTCAAGAATGGATGAGAGTCAGATAGCTACAGTGTGTTCTCAGTGTCTTAAGCCACTGGCATATTTACACTCGCAAGGTGTTATACACAGGGACATTAAGTCTGATTCAATATTACTTACGGCGGATGGCAGAGTAAAGCTGTCAGATTTTGGCTTCTGTGCTCAAGTTTCTCAAGAATTACCAAAGCGAAAGTCTCTCGTAGGAACTCCGTACTGGATGAGTCCTGAAGTTATTTCAAGGTATTCTGTATCTGCTGTTTTTAAATTAAGTAATACAAATTATTAAATTTATGCTTTATTATTCTAAATTATTATAGAAAAAGTAAATTACAGATGTGTAATGAGAATAATAGATGTATGAAATACACGAGAAATGTTTTTCTATTTTTTAATTTTTTTAAAATCTTGCATTCTTTCAAAAAATTTAGAATAAAATATTTTAATATTCGGAATGATGTATCTCAAATATCTTAATTATTTCAATTTTTTAGCAAATAACTAAAATGATTTCATTTTCAATATAGATTGCCATATGGACCTGAAGTGGATATCTGGTCGTTAGGAATAATGATTATTGAAATGATCGACGGTGAGCCACCATTTTTCAATGAACCACCTCTACAAGCTATGAGACGCATCAGGGATATGCCACCACCAAAACTAAAAAATTTTCATAAAGTAAGATCATTTACATTTCTTATTAATTTGGCACAAATATTAGAATTATCATATTAGTAGACAATTGTATATTCAAAATTCAAAAAGTGAGCAAAATATTTTCTTTATTTTCAGGTTAGTCCACGTCTTCAAGGCTTTCTTGAGCGAATGCTCGTACGTGATCCAGCGCAACGAGCCACGGCAGCTGAATTATTACAACATCCATTCCTTAGGCAAGCTCAAAGTCCTAGTATCTTGATTCCATTAATGAGAGGCGCCAGACACACAAATTGTTAACGAGATTACATCTTCGTAAGCTAGAATGTTAGTCAAGGCAGACATTTCATTATTAGAATATTCTCGACAATATCGTATTGAACTACTTATTCTCTGAGGGCAGCTTTTGGCAATTTGTGAATTATTTCAGTTCTGCCATCCTTATATAGAGAGTTTCTAAGTTTTATCTTTTTTTTTTGTGATAGACATGATCGATTGAATAATGAAATATTCAAAAAAATTCTCATACGTACGAATTTGAAGTATCATATAATATTGAGGATTTTTAATTTTAAAAGTATTGAAATTGGCATCATTTTCTGAAACCAAAGAGAATGTTATTTCATTATTCACAAGTTTTAGGTTTCTATATAAAACTTCGAACCTTAATATATATATATATATAAGCGAATCCTTTCGGTCATGTCTAATATACATATGTAATATATGAAAAAAAATTTATAGCTATACTTTAGAAAATATTAAATAGGAAAGTCCGAGTCATGATCATTACCAATTATTATTCGAATTATGACATTCCAATCGGGCCGAAGCTTGTAAGTATTATTTTGAAAATAGTTTACTACATTCCAGAGTATTGTTTTATATGTATTATTTTAATAATTTGACAAGGCTGCGTTTTTAAAAGACAATATAACATTATTCTTCAACTATTGGCACTGCCAATGTTTGATTCATAGTTGTAAAATCAAATTGTTTTAATGTTATAACGGATAATTATAATTTTGAAATATTTATATATATAAAATACGTATTCAACAAGTGCCTTTATAGTTAGCACTATTGACGATTAACGACGATTAACTTGTCATTATAAAGCACTATTTATTATTAGTATTAATGGGCTTTAGACATATCAAATCATTTATTGTTTATTATTCAAATCGCAGATCTATATATAAGAAATAAATACAAAGTGTCTGGTAATAATCAGATTACTTTTCAAGAACAAGTAGAATAGACTACGCTAAGTCGAAGAATCCTATACTATTTTGTAATAGTTAATGAGATATTAATTACTAAAAATGAGCCGTATTTACTTCTATCGCAAATCTAAATGCAAACGTGGCAAGAAATAATCGCCCAATGTAAGGGGAAGTGTTTTTTTTGCCTCATTGCCGCTTGTAGTATTCTTAACGTGTTCAATAATCTACGATATTGAGCGGTCGAACTTGTCACACAGATGCATTTGATAGTAGGCACCGGGCTGATTTATTTGATGATCTTCAGTAATTAATTTCTTGTTAACTATTGCGAAA